GTATCAAATTATAATACAACACATCTGCAAGAAATTATTGATGCTAAAATGTTATTACCAAGTATCAATCAAGTTGCATTTAATCCATACAATTATCGAACTGGACGAGCTGATTTACTTAAATTTTGTCAAAAGAATAATATTTAATTAGTAGCTTATTCACCAATAGGAGCACTTGATGCTCATCAATTTCCTGTTACGCATGAAGGTAAAGTAACAGGCATGTACCCGACATTACTTCAAGATCCTTTGATTATTTCATTGGCTAGAACTTATAAACGTACTGAAGCACAAGTTCTATTGCGATGGATACATCAACAAGGTGTTGCCTCAAATCCACGATCAATGAATGAAACACACATGAAAGAAAATCTCGATATTCTCTCGAATCCATTTACTATTAGCGATGATGATATGATACGCATTGCTAATCTAGCTCAAGATACATGCGAAGTCGATCCAAGTTGGTATGAATGTGTAGGAGATGGCAATCTTCCATAAGAGAATACTTTCGCCCTATTAAATTTTTCTTGATTTTTGTTCTTCGATTCATAAATAAATCTTCCGACTGTGATTTAAAGTATAGATATTGAATCCTTAGATGGATCTATATTCTCACTTTCAAGTTGAGATTTTGACTACAGCTTATTTATGTGAAAATAATCAAATTCAGCTCAAAAGTCTTGATTTATTGAAACTCATTTGATGTTAAGATATAAACATTATTTGACCAAACCATCAACAAGCGTTATAACGATTTATCAGGCGTATTTAAATGACAACGAATTAAATTGTGCTATTCATATAGTAGGGATTTATTCTATAATGGGTTCAATTTATTGGACATATATAGGAAATTATCTACTTGCTAATGAACAATATGATCTGGGTATTGGTTTCTGAAATTCATCTTTGCCAATAATAACAAATCGTGATACTCGAATAAAACTTTATAATTATATTGTATTATAGGGTGTGGGTGTGGTTATTTCACCCTTTTCATATAAACCACACCCACACCCACACCCACCCTCAACCTATTAAGAATAATATTCCATTAAACATATGACATTTCATCGTTAGTTTGCGATTCAATTTCTTATACCAATCGATTAATTCATTTATTAAATTAAAATCTAGAGGATAATTCGCTGTTGGATAAAATTTTGAGTCAGTATTTGATAAAAATGAATTCTATAGTAGATTATTTTTGAAAAAAATTATTTTTGACAATTTTTTCTTTCATATCTTCTAATGTTTTCTGTACAAATACGAGATAGTGAATAGACCTATATTTTTTTTCGAAAATGAGAAATTTTTTTTAGCCCATTATTATAGAAAGCCTAAATTTTTGACATTTAAAATACAGCAAAAAAAAACTGATCTGTAATTCCTTCGAGATATTAATCGACACTTACATTTGGTTGTTTATTATCCAAATGGATTGAAGTATCATTATTGGCAAGTGTTGGTTGTTCATTTAATTCGAATTTCGCTGTGCTAAATATTAAATAAATAAATATTTTGAAGTAAAAACTAAAAGTAGAACGTTTCGTATTGTTAGATCAATCAAGTCACTTTTAACTTTATTTTTCGATAAACTCTATCTCCCAATGGCAACGTGACTAATACAGTATCACTCTAAGTGGAAACGGGAAATATTTCACATTCTTGTTCATAAGTTGTTTTTTTAATTTAGATAGTATAGTTTAAAAAAATTAAAATATCTATTTGAATCAATCAAAGAAGCACTCCTATTCGATAAGTATTTTATATCGAACACATTACAAAAATTAAACGAAAAGTGCCTATGAAAACGGACGCAACTATGTTTTTAGAATTATTTGAAAATCTCATATCTGACACCAAAACATATTCTATAGGTTTATGTAAATTGAGAAAACTTTCAATATTTTATAGTTTGACTAAATACTTGATTTTGTCTTATGTGTAGGTCGAAATTAGTTCAACTTCTGAGTATCTGTTCACACACATTTCTTTCCTAACTATATAACCTAATTTCATAATTTTCCAGTGAAAAAATATTAGATTATACCAAATTCTGCCAGATTACAATCGAATTATTCTTGCTAAAAAGTCAAATTGTCGTTGATTTTAGAAGGATTCAATCGATTGTATAATTTTGATTATCTTTTTTTATCTATCACCTTATATTAGTGCTCATATATGAAAATTCCAAGTGGGTCGATATCCACAATGGATGGATGTACCTACTTAATCGATAATACTTATTGTTATTCATATACGTACAACATATTTATCTGAAGCCAGTATATTATTAACAATTTCCAATATGTTTAGCTACGATCTGAGTCGAAGCAAGCGATAAAATAGTACAATTATATTAGTTGAAATGAGAAATAAGATACTAAGATGCACGTTGAAGGTGATTGTATCTAATAATAATCTTTAATAACTGTATCTCACCAAATAAAACGACTCAAAGAGCTAACATAAAAATTGTGCGAGTATTTATACTCGTGTGAAAGTGAATTAATTAATGATATGGTTGTTTACCATCTTGTCAATTTAGATCGTTAAACTTTGATTGATGACCGTTACCAATTTAATTTAACGGCTTCTCTTGCTATTACTAAAGATAACAACACTATGATCAAACCGCCATAAATAGATGATAATATCCAGATCACTGCTGAGTCCGAAAGCAGGCGATTTATAAATCTAGCTTAATGATAAACGTAAATTGAATAAATAAATGCGAGTGTATTGTATAAGCATCTGATCAGTTTACGAATTTTGAACTGATTGATAAACCAAAGTGATTAAATTATCTTTATCATTTCAAGTGCCAATATGAGTATATAACATCCTCATGGTGGAATATGATTTTACCAAATTTAAAACTACTGTTGTCACGAATCAATAGTAGACATTTAGACGGTTTTGAATTTCTAGACTTGTCAAATTACCAATTTCGATCCTATTTATATAAAACAAACAATTTTCTCTTTTTACTTCCAATTTAATTACATTAAGTTATTCATATTTTAACTCAATTCAACTATTTTTCAGTCACATTACGAAGTACCTATCTTCACCGTTTCAATAACACAAAATCGGCGAAGTTGGAATAAAGACATCTTTAATTTTTACAATCTAACTGATTCTATTAAGGCACATATTAAATTGTTTTTTCATTTATTTTGATAACTAGTATTTTTACATAAACGCACATACATAGGAAAAAACAATGTTTTTTATTCATGCGTTTGTTCGACAACTTTCATACATATGCAAAAAAAATCTTTTTTCCTTTTTTATCTTTATTCTATTGCTGTTGGTGTATGTGTTGTTCGTTTATTAATTTCGAGGTAACTCGTCAAAAATTCGTTTAATTGACGATTTCTAGAATATCGAAAATGAATTGTATTATCGACAAAAACAAGATACATACATGACATATCTTATCCACTAAATCATTGATATTGTTGAACTTGTCCTGGACCCCTTCTCAAGTGCTTTCAATACACAATTGAATGACTTTTTCCCCAGTTTCGATCTAAAAATACTCATTATTTGAAACAGAAAAAGAATATGATTATACTCACATGGTCTTTACAATTGTACCGAAGACGAGTTAATTGGAGGATCTTAACTGCTTGTTCATATTTTATTTCATGGTTATTAGTAACAAGATCACTTGCGAATAAACGGATGGTATTGAACCCAAATCGAACAGTCCGGCACGGAAACAGCCACTTTACTGGTGGTTTTCTCTAGAAATTTACGGCGTACTGCGTCAGGAATTATCGTACGGGGAGTTTGATAACATAACCATCTAGATTAATCTAAACAAAAGAAAACTGTTTAAAAAATAATTTGACTTTTTTCGTCTTTACAAGAAGAATAGCTATGTCTACCACGCCTAATTTCAACTGATATTGAATCTATACAATGACTGTTTGACTTGACGTTCAACCCTCATCCTCGACCTCTCTCTTTTTCTTGTTTTTTTGTCCAATCCTTTTGAGATAACAAGAATAAAGTATTATTCACATACTCATTGTAACGGAAAATAAGAATAAGTCAAATAAATAATGAATACGTATCTTTTATTGAATAAATAAAAGGAAAATACGAGGACAATATAATAATAATAATAAAATAATAAGGTGATTCCTGTTGCTTCTTTACTGAGCTTAAGGTTCAAACTCTATTGAGGGTGTGGGTGTAGGTGTGGGTGTGCGTGTGGGTGTGCGTGTGGGTGTGCGTGTGGGTGTGAGTGACTCTTCTTCTCTCAGACTTACACCCACACCCACACACCCTCAAGATTTGAGAAGAATTAAGTTGACTGGAGAATAACACATCTTCTCATTTTTGACCCTTTGCAAACTGATCAGAAAAAGTACAGAATATGTGACCGAATAGAATGATCTGAATTTTGTTTTGAGACATGTTTCTCTTTTCATGAACAACAACTCATTTCTTATTCTGTTTTGTGACGGTGTTGGATTGCTAAGCATCCAAACGTTTTCCTCCATTAATGGATTGTTTTTCATTCTTGCAATGATTTTTCATTTTCAATGTTTTTCTTCGAAGGCACCTGGTCGTCGTCAGTAAAAGTGCGTAGCAAAAAAAAAAGAAACGACGAGTATTTATTTCTCTTATATAAACAGTGAAAAAACAGACAAGCATAAAACTATCTGATAGCAACAGCTAAGGATTATTTTAGTTGTCCTCCATCGTATTACGTCATTGTGGTGAGTTTTTTCTTTGACTGTTCTTAGAAATAGTAGAAACTAGTTATCTCTAATCTCATGTATTTATGTTATGATTTGAATGAGAACGTTTGAAGTCGAATTTTATCGAGCATCGATCGAAGCAAACTAGGTGAGATAAGTAACTAAAGTGAGGAAATATCGAATTTCAAGAAATAAGACGAGGTAGATGCAAAAGACAATTTTTCATTATCAGCAATCATTTTCTTTCAGTTTCTTTCGAAGAATAAAGATATAAATATGGAAAAGAATGTTCTACAAGAACAAAAATTCAATTATGATGTGTATGGACAAACCTTGATATTTTTCACTAAAGATTAAGAAAAGAGATGGTTAGTGATTGATATGGTGATTCAGCTTTCTAATTTTGATGCATCTTGGCGTCTGCATGTGATTAGAGTTGAGGGTATTGACAAAAATGGAGTTGAATTGGAAGTGTGCATCGGAATAATATAAGGATGCGGATCAGGGTAACACTTGTATCTCCATTCACGCACACACATCCACACATCCACACCCACCCACACCCATACCGACACCCACACCCACAATCACACACCCACCCACACCCACACCCACATCCATTTGTTTCAATAAGATTATTAGTTATTTATTAGATCAAAAAAGTCTTATCAAGAAAGTAACACGAAACAAGCAAGAAATTTTTCAATAATGCATTAAGAATAGTCGTGTTCAAATAGAAAATCAAGAAAGAGGTTAATGTATTTTCGAAAAGATTAGTTAATAAGCAGAAAATTCATCTAAATACTAAGGAGTTTATAAGATAAGCAAAAAGTGTCTTTGGATGTGAACTTTGTAGACTTCAGTTGATCGGTTGAATGACGAAAATGTCCTCATCTAAAGGTACCAATAATCGCCCGTCTCCTGCTGTTTGAGCCATTTTAAGCAAGATTGTAATAACTTCTGTTGCCAAATTTTTACCGTTAGAAATCACATTCAATCCCAAGAAAAACGAAGCTATAGCCCATTCGAGATTGTCATTTCCTTTGACACCCGTTAGATCAAATGTGGTCTTGTTGACATAACGATCGAATGAGATGTTCACATTATGAAGGTCTCGCGCAATATCACTGGCACCGATGACATGCGGCGAGTACGGAGCATAAACACGCGCAGGCGCTCCCCACCCGTCCCCGATGTGTACGACGAGCATTTGGCCAGTGGTGGACTGAAGTAGAGATTGAAGCTGCCGAAGCACATCTGTACGAGAGGATGGATAGTATAGTGAATGAATCATTAATATGATATCGAAAGGACCGTCGTTATTCTTCCTGTCCATCAAATAAGATTCAACTTTTGTTCGATGAATATTCCATGCTGCTATAAAACTTGAAGAGGAGCGTAAGTTTGTTTCGAGTGCGTCAGCCATTTCGAAACTAGGTTCAATCGCCATTAAGTGAGCTATCTGACAGCACTTCAGTATTTGCAACTCGACATCTCCACTACCCGATCCAATTAGCAAAACACGAAGACCTTTTTGATCCGATGTTTTCATTTGAGACAACAATTTTGACATACATTCGTGAGTGTTTTCGCGACCATAATAACGAGCAAGAATCAATGCATAAATCTCCTTGTATTCCGCTGTAGTTAATGTCGGAAGAACGGTAGGATCAGAAGCCATCACTAAACAAAGATAATTTCAATTAAAGAGGGTAATGTGACGATTTCTAACAGAAAGAATATAATCCAGATGGTACTACACTTTATTATTTTTCTTCTTATCAAGAATCGCATCGTTTTCATACAAAACATACACTTATATAGTTGCCTATTATTTAGAAGAGAGAAAGAAAAGGGCGAAGTATAATAAAAGTAACGTGTAATGCCAGAAAGATAAGAACAATACGTAGGATGAAAAGGATTCGTAAGAGCAGGTGAAATGATATCTATAAAACCCACTCATACTAAAATATTATAGATAAATCGACAACACACTTATTCACTTGCCTAGTTTAATATTTTTACGTTTTTCTTTTGTGCAAACGAATTGTATAATCGCTGCATGTGATTTTTTTTCGTCGTAATATCTGTACTATTGATCAAAATATATCAAAGAACGAGGACGATAAGATGTATACAGAATGACAAAGTATTCACCATGTGACTACAATACTGAAAAAATAGTCGATTAATGTGAAGGTAAAGAACCATCTTGAGGGTGAGGGTGAGGGTGGGTGTGGGTGTGGTGTAACGGAAAATAGAATAAATCAAATAAATAATGAATATGAATCTTGAGGGTGTGGGTGAGTGTGGTGTGGCTAAGGGTGTGGGTGTGAGTGTGGCTGTAGGTGTGGGTGAGAGTGTGAGTGTGGGTGTAGGTGTGGGTGGAGGTGTAGGTGTTCTTCTGATCGTCAGTCACACCCACACGCACCCATACAGGTGAATATGAACGAGCTATAGAATTTTATCACATAGCATTTAGATATGATTCAAACACTTCCTAGAACAGACTCAGACAAAGATTTATATGCGTATATTGTGAAATCTTTTTTCCGTATTAAACGATTTGATATTGCATGCGAACACTTCTTACGTCTTTTACATGAAGAAACGGAGAAAGAGTCTTTATTCGCTGGTAGAATACATAATAATTTGATTTGCTTGCTAAACGTCGAAAAGCAAAATGCCGAAAATGCTTAAATGTTGTCATTGATCAGTATCGATGTATGTTCTAATCATTTTTCCCGTATTTTCTTTCGGCTTCTTCTAAAATCGTTACGCCGACTAGTCAGGGCATGGGTGTGGGTTAAGAGACGATAAATACCCACATCTGCATCCACACCCACACCCACACCCACACCCAAAATAAAATCCAATAAATATAATTAATACAAAAAATTATTTTCTCGCTAATAAATTTTCAAATCCAGTAAGCATCTCAAAACTTTCCTTGGGATTCTTCTTTTTCCATCTTTTAACAATAAAAATACTGGTTCCAGCTGCAATAATAGCAACAGCTGTTAAAGGAATTGTTATTGCTAATATAGTTTTCCATTTTCCATCATCCATTATTATTGTTCGTAGTGTAGTTGATGCATTTGTTGTCGTCGTCGTCGTCGTCGTTGTAACTGATGTTGTCAAACTTGAGGTAGATGAAGTTTTTATTGATCCTGTTGTTACTGTTACAGTACTACCTATAGTTGATGAGGATTGACTTGATGACATAGTTGTCAATTTAGACGTCAATGAAGTTTCTTTTGAAGTACTAGTCATAGATGATGACGATGATGAAGATTGAGTTAGTGGTATAGTTGTACTATTTACCAGTGATAAACAGGACAAGTCAATATTCACACATTCATGAGTTAGTTCTTGCACAATTGATTGATTTGATAAACAAATTGGATGATGACCTGCACCAAATTTCTTTTTCATCATAAAAATAAAACAATTACACGGATGATTTTCATCAACGTGTATCGTTGTTCTATTGAATATTTGAAAAATTGGCTTTGATAGACAATAATCATTATTATCGAAGCGAATATCATTAAGAGAAACTCGATGATCGAATGATGGACCATGCCAATCAATAATTGAACCGTCTCTCGGTTCTAATGTCCAAAATTTGTCTGTTTTTGGTATTCCTGAAAGTTTCAGAATTGTTAATTGTCGTAATTTTGTTAAAACAAACCAATTCAATTCTAATAGATTTGTACAATTTTCTAATGATAAAACTATAAGTGTCGATTGAATCGTATCAAGAAATGAGCTTGTTTGATTTTTTGAATGAAAATGGTCATCAATTACATGTTTTGTTGTTTCCAACGAAGAGAAACTATTTGATGATAGATCCAGATCTATCAGAATTGTTCCATCAAAAGCCATCGGATGAATTGATTCAATATGATTAGAACTCAAATCAATCGTTTCAAGTTTATGTACATTTTTAAATGCATTTTCATCCAAAGTTTTAATTTTATTGCAACATATTTGTAATGAATTTAGAGATGAGAGATTTCGTATAGCTTTGAAATCATGTAAAAAATTGTTTGATAAATGCAATGTAGTTAATGTTTGAACTAATGGATATAAAAATGATATAACTTCATTATGAACTGTGATAGTTTCAAGTGAAGTTAAACGATTATCGTATAAAACTAGAGTAGATAACTGTGTTAATCCGAGGAATGCATCAGGTGCAATATGTTTGATTTGATTATGTGATAAATTTATTCGATTTAGTTGAGTTAAATTTGTAAATATATTTGATTTGACATCTTCAAATAAATTTGCACTTAAGTCAATATCCTTTAATGTAGATAATTTCATGAATGATGGAATATGATTTAATTTATTTGATGATAAATCTATATCTAACATAAATGTTGAAAGAGTATCAAGAAGAAGATCAATATTTGTTAAAGAACAATTTTTCAATTTCATGTGAGTAATATTTATCAATGATGAACCATTAGAAATAAAATGAAATTCGGGAGAATTAGAAATACTCATTTGATAAATTTGTGTATTATCAAATGCTTTTAGATTAAGTTGATATGGAGGATTATCATTTTGAATATCAGAAATAACAATTTCTCTATATTTTAGTCGACTAAATGCATAATTAGCAAGTTGAAAATTTCTTGGACTTTCAAAAATAAGAGTAATTGGTGTATCGGAATAAAAATTCAATATTTGAAAAGTATTTTCTTCTACTCGATCAATACGATTGATAAATGTGAATTCGAATTGTCCAAGTGAAAGAACTGTTGATGTGAAATTTGTAAATGTATTCGATGTTAAATGTGTAAAATTGATGAATTTAAATAAATGAAATCGATGACCACCGGATGAAAATGTTGACCAATCGATAAATGTTTCATTACTTGGACGATTTTCAATACAAGTAACTAAACTTTCATCGCTGTTACAACGACAAGAAATGATTGAACTAGTGAGGCATGAAAACTCGGATTTGGTTAAAGTTATAATTAAACCTATATGAATAAAACAGAAGAAGAATTTGATTCGAAACATTTATTTACGTAAATGACTTGCACTGCTCTAAAACTGTTTCACAATATACTATCTATATTACAGTGCATGTTTTTTTGTTATCGTTTCTTCTGCTTAACATGACGCTTTTTGAGTACTTGAATGAATCATTGCCTTCTAAAAACAATACTAAGATATAATTAACAAGTTCGTAAGTAGAGACTTTTAAACTATCTGTTCCGTTATTTATCACAGTGACATCTACTTTTCCATCATATGACTAAAAGAAATCTTAAATCCAATAGATCATATCATGATTGATGAGATATAATAGCGATGCATTAAAATATAAATCTTCTATAATAATTGCGTAGAATATCGTATGTGATAGATTCAATGTACGAAAGACGTTAAAAAGAAACGTATATTACGCATTTATGTTATCATTTATATTCAAGGATTGTCATTACGAATGTCTTATAGATGCAGTAATAGATAAGAGTATGTTGTAACATTTGTATCGAAAAAAAAGAGTGTGCTCTCTTATTTCTTCATATAAGTATGTTCGATGGTTAAACGAATAGACGTCGTATGTCAAAGAAAAGTTTTAATTTTTATGACTGTTACTGTCAGTATTTTGATTCTGATTATCGTTAGTGTTGTTATAGCGACTACAACTTCTCACTATAAATCAATTCAAGACGATGTGATTGATGCTCTTGAGAGTGTGAACCCCACACAAACCCTACATATATTCTGATCGAGCGTGAAATGCTCTATCACTCTGCATAATTATCTATTTTCCAGCATGTCTTGATTGGGAAAATAGTTTGTCAGCATTTAAAACAGACATAACTGACAAGTGCAGAAAATCGACGTTTTTTTTCTACTTGTTACTAGTCTTCTTGTTCAAATTTTAGCTGGTTCATCTGTTAGCTTTTACTGATGGGTGTGGGTGTGGGTGAGGGTGAGAGTAATATTCTTCTTTCCGTTCACCCACGCTCACACCCACACCCTCAAGATATTTTCTCGTATTTAGTTTTCATCACAATATATTTGTTGGTTTATAGCTCTATGTTTAACTTGAGCTTTTGATTATTTTTGCTTGATATTCAGATATGAAAATATATAGAATGCAATCCTTTAATAAAATAGAAAATGAAAAAGAAGATTTAATTCAAAAAAATAAAATAAAAATAAGCGAAATTAAATAAAAATAAATATGTCATTAAAAAAAGTATAGTAAACCAGAAGGAAAAATGTCAAATGTTCAACGTCGAGTAATATTAATATTTCTCAATCGTTGTGCATGTCTTAACCGTGCTCTTTTGTCCAATGGATTAAACATATTGTAAAACTTCGTGAAAGCAGCATACATTACTAAAGCCTGTATAGGAACCATAGCAGCCATGATAACCATAGTCATAATTGCTACTGGTTGTGCACATGCATTTATCTATTATATATATATGTGTGTTAAATATAAGTCTTATGTAACTGAAAACTTACGAAATCTTGAGGATACATGACAGGAACGGTAGTTTCACCTGATCCACTTGCAGTAGTTGCACCCGCTGTTGTTGGACCTATAGGACAGAAGTGAATGAATTAAAGTAATAACATTTTTTTTACCAGCTGTAGTTGCAATTCCAGTAGTTATAGTTGTTGTTGTTGTAACAGCAGCCGTAGTACTTGCCACTATGCCAGATGTTGTGCACTATGAAAAACATTCATATTATGAATAAATGTCAGTTTAGATAAACTTACTGCAGTATTAATCGAAGTAGTGGTTGTACCTAAGGATGTAACTGTATGAGTTGTTGGTGGAGTAGTAGTAGTTGTTGTTGTAGATGATAAAGCTGGATCCCAAATGTTAAATACCCAAAATGTTGGATCAGTAATCGGAGCAGATTCAGGACCTTCAGTGATTTATCATTTAATTTATATCTTTTTATTAATCGATATAATTAATAAACTATTACTTACCACAATATACAGTTCCACTAGCAACACCTTAAATCAAACAAAATAAGAACATACTAACTGAAAATACTGTGTAAGACCAATAAATTTATACATACCACTATCAAATGTCACATAATAAAAATGTCCAGGAATCCATGGTGCAACTGGAAAACGAATGATAGTTGTATAACCTGTATATATGACATTAGGGTCCCAACCACAATCAAATTTCTGAACGAGTGTATTATTAGCAGTCGCATCCGTGAAATAAATGTAAGTACCATTAAGTGTTGGACGATATACAGCCATTGTCGCTGAAAAAAACAAAATTTAAATACAATTAAATGTATAAGAAATAGTGAATTAAATAATTAATCGAGAATATTTCTTAAGTTATTCACAAGTATTACTTTGAATCGAGAAAAGGGTTTGATTTTGAAAGACAGTGCCAATTGGTGAAGCTGAACCTTGAACCAGTATTGGTTGAATAATAGCAGGAGATTCAAAGCCAACTAAGTATGTCATACACCATTGATTAGATTGGAGTTGTATATTATCGATAGCTCCAGCACAGAGAGACTGCGGGCCATACTGAGCTTCTATGGGAGCCCAACTGAGAATGATTTCATAGATATCTGTAAAGAAATAATGAAAGAAACAAAATAAAACACATAATGTACACTAACTAGGACTTGAATGGATAATAGTACTCTTTGTCATACCAGTTGGAACGCTACTAACTAAATCAACAATAGCATGTCCAGGACAATAAATTTCTACAATGATATATTCAGTAACATTGGAACCGATTGGTACACCAATACAAGCTAAAATAGAGTAAACGATTGCATATATGGAAAGAGTAAGGAATAAAGTTATATATAACTTACCTCGGTTTGGTAGATTACCAATGATAGCAGGTGGAATAGTACAATTCAAAGTGGAAGATAAAGTATAACCATAGAAAAGAAATTGTATTGGAACAGAACTCATTGGTGTTGTAGATGAACTACTATAAAAATCTTCAATTTGTAATGCTACTGCGGCATACACTCCAGCAAGTGTAAGCTTAAACTCAAATGTGCAAGTACTCTCATTAAAATAAGAAACATTAGGAACACCATTACATGCACCACTACATTCATTGACATTGTTAATATTACCTGATGAACTCGACCATCGACATCGTAATATATCGGTTTTGTCAACATAATCAGCCATTTGAACAACATGTAATTGTTTAATATTAATTTGTTTGTAAATAATAGGAAGACTGACAGCAATAGGACTGGTATTTATGTAACCATCGGGTCTAATAGTAGTGTCGATTCGACAGACAACACTCCATGGCTGGCCGCCATTAACAACAAGATTATTGAGCCAAGCACTTGCATTAAAAGCAATACTAAATGCGGTATTTAGTGGAAATGTTTGATTTTCATAATGTTCGCCAGAACTAACAATAAGTGCAGCACTATAATCCGTACAGTTTACTAATGTATCCATTTTAGTCCAGTTACCACAATTACCATCAACACATGTGACATAATAGCTACCTGTCTGTCCGACATTACCATGTGCAGCTATTTTCGTATCATCACAGTTATAATAACTATTAAAAGTACGATTCCATGACCATCTTTCACGCACTTGAATGGTAACTGCATTGCCGGATGGAACATTATTCCATGGACGCCTATAAAATAGAATAATAATAAAAATGTATTAGTGGAAGACAATATATATATATTATGTACCATGTCATTGTACCACCACGAAAATGACTACCATGTAAAATAGTACTAAAACCTACTAACAAGATTATAAGCAATCGCAGGATCAACATCATTTATGTAATGAAAAAATGAAATGACTACAAAAAATTATGGTTTAAATACTCTAGCTGAGACTGTTTTTTTTTATTTGCGCACTTTCAATGGAGCAGAGGAATAGAAGAAATGGGAATATTACCATTTCAAAAAACAAAAATCTTATTTTGAGATGTAAACGTCTGCCTGGAATAAATACAGACATCGTTCGTTTTTTAAAAAAATTGGTAGAATTTTTTTTTCTATTAATGTATTTACGTAAAAGAAGAAACACAACGAATACACAGCTTATATGTTTTCGCCTATTTTAAATGATTAACATGGGGAATTTTTCATTTATTTTTCTACGAAATCTTTCTTAGTTACATATTGAAATGATTACATTCGTCTACCGTTAAGAGTTTTGTTTTGATAACAAAAAAGAAACAATGATTCAATGCATAAGTTTTTATTTTCTTCCATTTTTTTCTCGATTCGTATTATAATATCATAATTAATAAATCGACTTTTAATCACGTATTCTATTCTAAATAACAAGTATTTTAAATAATATCGTATAGATTTAATTGAAAAATATTTAAAATCAACCTTATATATGTATTTATAGTTTTAAATAATTCGAAAAATATATTTTAACTGGAAACTAGTTTCTAAAATGTAATCGGAGGTAATAGCAATAAAGAAGTGATAGTTTATTACATTTTACTGTATAGTTTTAATTAAAAATAAATTCAAATATCCAGATTTGATAATCTTAAAGTTCTCTCAATAAGACTATTCAATTAATCAGATATTTATTTTCAATATTTTTTTAAAACTATAGATTATGTGTTTTATGTGATTTTTTTTTCTTCACATACTCAATATATAATGTGTGATTCTCTTGCATAAATCTTCAATAGTATCAATAGTATATGACTTATTTGTTTTAGTTTTTGTTTTCTTATTAGATTATTTTTTCAAAAAAGCATTTGAGTTAAACTTTTTTGATAATTGATCCATGTCATTAAATTGATATATGAGTTGTTTTAAATAAATAAATGAAGAGAAGCCTATCGGCTATTATCTCTCATAAACTGAAACTAAAAAAAATCAGCATAAAATACTAGACAGAATTGTGGTATATTTGTATACTTTTTTCTTTCAATTTAACTGAAAAAAAGCAAGAAAAAACGGTAGTGCCTATAAGAACATAAAAATTGTTCGTTTCAAATACAAAATAGCTTGTCTGAATGGTGTAAGTGAAGATTCAAAATGCGAAGAAAGACTTTGTTTGAGTTGTTTTGATGTTGTTAATGCTTGCATGCATAATGTTGTTGAAACTATTCAACAATCTATTGGAGAAATACGACAAACTAAATGCACAGACATTTGCTATTAAAGTGTTTCGACGAAAATATATTGTTCTTTTGGTGGGAAAAATGTGTCTTAATCGTCAATCTCTGTTTGCTGGATGCGTGTGCAGGTGCGGGCGAGGGAATGGGTGTGGGTGTCCCTTGTTTAAAGAGAACACCCACACCCTCAAAAAAAATTGTCATTGAATTGTACATTACTTGATTTTAATCAGACAAAAAATAGCCATCAGAATTATAACTCATAGCATAAAGTATGAACAATGAAATCTTATTGTTTATCAATTATTGATAATGTAAAATTTATTCGTTTATTTAGCGACAATACTTTAAAGTAAAATTGTAGTAAATTTAATGCAAGAATTTAATCATGAATAGAAATGTGTAAAAATCTTTGATAATTCACCACAATCTATTAGGATTCGTATTTCCACTTTTATCGTCCATTAGATTATGGGATATTTTTAATATATTGATATAACTTTTATCTATCGTCTAAATTTAATAATTGCGACTTAATTTTACTTGATTCAAATGCGAATTGTATAAGATTGACATTTTCAATACAAGCAAGATTTATTGTTATTTAAATAACGTTCTCTATTTTTAATGTTATCAATTGTTAATTACTATATCTCTGAATTACATCGGTTCATTACATAGCCTGAATTAGAATTTTGTTTGAACAGAGTTGAGAGTTTTATTATACAAATAGTTTATTGTGTAATTTAAAAACTATATGTATTGAATGTATTAATAATAAAAAATACAACATAAAAGAAGATGTCGTGATATTGATTACACGTTTCTTGCAAGAATATATAGTTTATAATCAATATTCAAAGATTTTTTCTCAAGACAAGATCGTACGAATACACCTGTATTTGATACTGGAAATCTTTAATAAATAAATAATTTGTGATACGCTTATTTATTCTAAAAGATGCTACCTTGTTCCTAATTTATAACTTATTTATTAAATAAATAAATAAATAAATAAATAAAACTGTAACAGTTACTAAAATATAGAGAGAACAAATTATTCGATGTTACTATTTTACAGTCTGTTATGAAGTCATATTTTCTTCCAATCATATTCAATGAAAAAATTAAAGAACATCTTTTTTAACATATGAAAGATACTGTTACCAGTGGTTTAACTATGGGAAGGCAAATGGATAATTGGCCATTTCATTTGGAGATTTTCCCAGTAAAATTTTACTTTTTAAAATTTTTTTTAGTTTTTTTTAACTAAGTTGTAATAACTGTATTTTTTCTTTCGTTTGAAGCAGACATGCGCCTTTTCGGTGTTTTATCTAGCGGGAGGGCAGTGTGGGCATCGCCCTCCTGGAAACTGAGTTTGCCACCTCGAAAAAATGAAATAAATTTGAAAAAAATGCAAAAACTATTATACCTTTCTTAACTTTTTTGGAACATATTTAGAGAAACTGTTGAACAAAACACTTTTGTTAAAAATGAAAAATACACTCTCTTTATGTGATCTCACGATGACGATTTATCAGTTTAATCAGATATACGTGTCTTCTTTTTACATCATACCATTCCTATTGAACAAATAATAACATACATATACGACATGAGGGTGTGTTCTTTTAATCATCTATACACCTGTAGCTACACCCTCAAATTTTGTTGAGAATAGAAGATACTTAATCCAGTTTAAAAACAAGCAATTTTATTTACGGCTTTTTGTGGAAATTTTTACAACAAAAGAAAAAATATCCGAATGATCATCGAAATACATCTAATGCTGCCATTTACAGTTTCCTTCTTCTCTCATTACGTTCAACGAATTCATTGATGTCATGCATCACATTATCTCCGATTTGATTTTCGGAGACGTTTATTTTCGTGAGTATCTACATCAAAAATTCAAGATAAAAACATGATATAGATAAAGAGGAAATGAAAGTTACCGTATTTTGTTGTAATGCATGAACCAAATGTTGCCCCCCAACATCTCCAATTCCATTATTTTCGAGATCTAGACTGATCAGTGTCTAGATGAAGAAGTGGAGTAAAAAACGTAGTATGGATAAAGAGACAATGAAAACTACCGTGTTATGTTGTAATGCAGCTGCCAAATATTGTGCTCCAATCTTTCCGATTTCATTCTTCGACAGATCCAGATTGGTGAGTGTCTAGTTAAAAAAGTGAAGGTAAAACCATGGTGTAGATAATCAGAGACTGAATAGTACTGTGTTGTGTTTTAATGCATCAGCTAAATATTGTGTACCAATCTCTCCGATTTGATTCCATGAGAGATCTAGTGTGTTAAGTGTCTAGATGAGAAAGTAGAGCTAAAGATATAGAAAGAATACGAATTACTGTATTATATCGTAAGGCATCAGCCAAATGTTGTGCTCCAGCCTCTCCGATTCCATTTTTCGAGAGACCTAGACTGCTGAGTGTCTAGAGAGAAACATGGTATAAATAAAGAGAGACTGAATATTACTGTGTTGTGTTGTAACGCATCAGCTAAATATTGTGCACCAATCTGTCCGATCTGACTCCACGAGAGATCTAATGTACTAAGTTTCTAGATGAAAAAGTAGAGTCAAAGATATAGAAAGAATACCAGTTACTTTGTTGCGTTGTAATGCATCAGCTAAATATTGTGCACCAATCTGTCCGATTTCATTTTTCGATAGATCTAGAGTGATGAGTGTCTAAATGGAAGATTGAAGATAAAAACATATAGTATAAATAAAGAGAGAATGACAATTACCGTGTTAAGTTGTAGTGCATATGCTAAATATTGTACTCCAAGTTCTCCGATTCGATTATCTCGGAGATTTAGTCTAGTCAGTGCCTAGATGAAAATGTGGAGACAAAGACATGGTATAGATAAAGAAAGAATAAGAGTTACTGCGTTGTGTTTTAATGCGTCAGCTAAATATTGTGCTCCTACATCTTTGATATCATTCCACGACAGATCTAGATTCGTCAGTATCTAGATGGGAAAATGAAGATAAAAACATAATGTATATAAAGAGAAAATAATATTTACCGTATTGTGTTGTAATGCATTACCCAAATATTGTGCTCCAACCTCTCCGATGCCGTTGTCCCAGAGGTCTAGACTGATAAGTGTCTAGGTGGAAACGTATAGGTAAAAGCTAGGCATAGATAAAGAGATAATGTGAATTACTGTGTTCTGTTGCAATGCATCAGCAAAATATTTTGCTCCATCCGAACCGATTTGATTGCTCGAGAAATCTAGACTAGTCAGCGTCTAGATAAAAAAATGGAAGTTAAAACATGGTATAGATAATGAGGAATTGAAAATTACTGTGTTGCGTTGCAATGCATCAACTAAATATTGTGCTCCAATCTCTCCGATGCGGTTATCTCGAAGATTCAGTGTGATTAGTGTCTTGATAGAAAAGTGAAGGTAAAAACATGATGTAGATAAAAAAAAGGTTAAGAATTACTGTGTTGTGTTGTAATGCATCAGCTAAATATTGTGCTCCATCCTGACCGATTCGACAGCCGGAGAGATCTAGACCGGTGAGTGTCTAGATGAAAAAGTAGAGATAAAAACATGGTATAGATAAAGGGAGACTGAGAATTACTGTGTTGTGTTGTAATGCATCAGCTAAATATTGTGCTCCATCCTCGCCGATAGGATTATTTTCGAGTTTTAGTGTGGTAAGTGTCTAAATAAGAAAGTAGAGGTAAAGATATGGTTTAGATAAAGAGTGAATGACAATTACCGTGTTGCGTTGTAATGCATCAGCTAAATACTGTGTTCCAATATGACTGATTTGATTGCCCGAGAGATCTAGAGTGATGATTGTCTAAATAGTAGACGTGGTATAGATAAAGAGTTAACGAATATTACTGTGTTGTGTTGTAATGCACCAGCCAAATATTCCGCTCCAACCTGACCAATTCGATTGCCGGAGAGATCTAGACCGGTGAGTGCCTAGGTGAAAGTGTAAAGTTAAAGACGTAATAAAGATAAAGAAAAAATACAAACTACTGTATTATATTGTAAGGCATCAGCCAAATGTTGTGCTCCAAGGTTACCGATTTTGTTCTTCGCAAGATTTAGCGTGGTGAGAGACTAAATGAAAAAATGGAAAGAATATGGTGCGTGGTGAGGGATGATATTTTATGAAAAACTGGATTGAAAAGATGTTAAGAAGGACGAACTAGGGATAGAAAATTTTTATCTGTGAGCTTTATTAATTTCTAAATATTTTTTAGAGAAGCAGAAATTGTTTGTTAAATGAAAAAGAGTTTCTTGTCAGTGGTTATCGGACAGTTTTCTTTTAGGTTCATTATCTGGACGCACAGTCATGCATGTTCTTAAAAGAGTATTTATCGAGATCGTTGTTTATAATAAAATAAGCTAGTTTATCGAAGATTAATTTCTTTCAAGTCATAATGTTTTGTTCTTATTTAAATATTGTATCTTTATGATGTTATACCTAGTTTTAAACGTGGAATATTTAGGTGAGATTGAAAAGAAAGAAAAAGGAATAGCTAATGAATTATTATAAGTGACAAATAGTTTATTTACATATGTTTTATTGAATAGTTTACCTGATATCTATGGTAACTATCAACGATGTTGTTTAATCGTTGACATACATTTCTCATTGAACATATAATTGTGAAATCAGATTGACGATCCAAAATTCGGTAGACAAGTTCAACCGGTAACGTAAGGAAGTTAATGGCAGTTTGATTTGCCATTGTAGACTATTGATAAAATGCGTGCTGAGGTAACCTTATATGTTGGCTATATATATTGGTCACTATCTTACCATTAAATACGCGAATATTCATTCTATATCATAGATGTCACATGGTATTATAATATTATACTTATTGCTGAGAGAAAAAACACGAAAAAAAATGATATCTACTAGAAAATGGCAAAATTGTCATAATAATTCACTCTAAAAAAATATATAGTTAAATAACAAATGATTATTTTACACTTGAAAAACTCAATCGAGTCTTTCTTATTTTTATTTAACGTTTTTACATGAATATAAAATGAATGAACAAAGCATCCTTTTCTTCAACTTTGTTCTTGTTTATCATCTTCTAAGCATGGATGAATACGAGTTCAAAAGACTGGAAGAAACAATGTTGAGATAATATTTTGCTAAAGTGCAAGTTTTTATATTAAATCCATATATATTACTTAAATAACTTTTTCTCGTTCTTTAAAACTTTGACTGAGATTTTTGTGATTAATGTTGTTTTTTGTTTACAAATAGCTGTCATTTATACCTTTTAAATTCTTTAAAATATGTTATTATTACGTCACCATTCTGACCGATTAAACGCCAACAATGTACACAGAATACATTTTTATTAACGAGATGAATCAATCCTAATCCGTTAAAAAAAGTTTAACATAGCATCATTATTAAGTATCATGAACAATCGAATAATGTACCTAAGACTTTAAAACAAGTAGTCGAATTTTTTTATATTAGTACATAAAAGAATAATTGTTCTAGGGTACAATAACGGAAGGAAGTTTGAATGAGACGAGATGTCTAATAGACGGTATTTTTTATGTACTAAACATCATTTTATTATATGAAAATTATTCAATTTTATTATGAAAAATGATTTTTATCATACACATCGAAATATAAGTTAGTATTTGAAATAATTTCAACTTCTAATCTCATTCAAATGAAGATATAACATTTCTTTTTTTTTTGTGTACTTTCAAATAGCGCAATCATGTGCTTTTAAATATTCACACAAAAATAACATTTTTCACGTCACCAGAACAAAAATGATTTTCAAAAGTACACACAACATTTTTGTACGAGAAGTTAAGAAAAAAAAAATCAACAAACGAAAAGAAAAAGAAAATTTTTTTTACAAGTATCATTCAAGGACTGTCTTTTCCTTGTGTAGTGCCATTGGCTCCTGATTTTTTCTTTGTAAATCGTCGTTTCTTTTCCCATTCAACTGTTTCTATTTGTAGTTTACTAAGTTGTGCTAATTTACTTAACATGTCCGAAGGACAATTAGTGAATGGATCAGGATATTCATAAAGATCTAAATATGAAAAAGAAAATCAACAATATAATTCATATAGTTATTGTCTTATGAAATCGTATAGGTAACAATTCTATCAATTTATGTTTTTTATTTTCATCGTACAAATACTGATTTGAATAAATTTATATTCGAGAAATTTCTATAATTAATTATACAGATTTCGTTTTTGAGGGTTTTTAAGATTAATATAAAAAAATATTTCTATACCTTTTGAAATCGTTGTTTTATCATGTTGAATACGTGGTCTAGTAGTTTGACTAGCATTTCGTTGTAATTGTTGGGATGTCATATATGCTGATGACATTGCTGGTTGTCTTGCTGGACGCATGGATGATGAAGAAGATGTATTTGTTTTAAATCGTTCGGTTGTGATTAATAAACTGTTTGTAGTCGTGTCAGCTAATGCTCTTTGTCGAACAGTGCTTCCTCCCGTTATTGTATTTCCATAAGCAAATAAAGATGAATTCGATGATGGATGACTTGTTGTACTCGTTGCCATCCTAAGAGCTATACCTGAAGAAATAGGTAGATAGGTATTGCTTGATGCAATTATAGGCGAATCATAATGTGTCGCATGACGTTCTAAAAGAATAAACAATATATATGTATATAGATACGCAAACAACACTTAAAGTAAAAAAGTAAGAAAAAAAAGATTTTTTTTCTTTGCTGCTGCATGCCTGACTCTTTGCCGAGTAGGGCGTGTTTTATTTCAACATTTGATGTTGTCAATTCTTTTCTTTTTCTCACTCATTTGCATTTGGTTGCCTCTCGTCAAGTCGTTCTCTTCTTTCTTTTCTTTCTTTCATCAGTAACCAACCTTTTCTTTTACAAGAACATTGTAGAATCTCGACATAAAAAACATACGTTTAGGAAAAAAAAGAAATTAAATATATTCTCTCAATCATAGTATTGAACTTGAAAAAAGAAAGAACAGGAAAGCTTTGTCTTCACCTACTCAGTCCGTCAGTTCTTAATATCGAATTTGGCCTCATTGGAGACGAAGAAGAAAAGGAACATGAAGACGATGATTGTTGCGCAGATGGAGTTGAACTAGCTGTAGTTGATGTTCCCATTGATAGAAGAGAATGTTTTCTGGATGATTGTGAACTATTATCAATATGTTCTTTGGTATCTAATATGAAAAGAATATTTTTTCTTCTAATGAATTTTTTCGTTTCCTACTATCTTTTGTTAATTTCAATATAACAACATTATCAGTAGTAGTCGAATTTGATCGTTGTATTTGTTCATTACCAATAGTTTTAAATGAAGAAGCATAACGTCTTGTGCTTGATAAATCTATTGTTAACATATTAAAACAAATAAATTAGTGATACGATTTCTTGTTTCTTTATACCTGTCGATGATTGGGCGACATTTGATGGAGGTGAAATAAGAAATGAAGGTATAAATGTATCATCAATATCATCATTTTTTGATAATAATAATTTTTTCGTTGGTGCTGAATGTTCACGTTGTAATGGTTTATGATTAAGATCAACTTTTGCGAAAAGTCTAAAAAAAATAAATATAGATTTAGGTAATTCGAAAAAAAAATCTAACCGTCTATTAATTTCTCTCTTGGTTAATTTTGATAATACTTTTTGCCATTCAACCAACGGAGTATGAACTGCATTCTTCCATGGAAGATAGTCACAACTAATTGTACAACTCATCTATTCCTTGTACGTTCTATATAAGATGTTGTTTTTTAAAAATAATTTTATGAATTCGTCTAGGTTTATACATCTTTTTTTTTTGTTCTTATTGATGATTGTTTTTCTAAAAATGAAAATAATGTATTTTATATTATTTCTTTGTTAAAATGTTTGCTATTTACTATTTTAAACGATCGACAAGTGCAGTCTGCATTTATTATGATTAAGAAGGGCGGCATTGTGTTGATTATTAAATGTACATAAAAACAATTTTCAGATGAAAGTTGGTTACATCTATTTTTGCTTTCAATAGATATATCGAACTGAGAATAACTTAGTACTGTTTCAACTCGTTTATTTTATTTAAGAATTAGATATGATTTCTTGCTCATACTCCATTATATGTGACTTAATCATGTGTAATAATCAAATGTTAGAAGTGAATTTTTTAATAAATAGAAAACGCGAGGATATTGAATAAGAAAAAAATTCCGAAATAACCCAAATTTGGTTTTATTATTGAAAAATATTTACAATTCAATTGTTTGAATTATTTCTATAAAAAGTTAAAAGCATTTTGCAGAACATCACACATAATACAATTTATGCCTAAAAGAAAAATTTGTTTTACTATAATTTTATTAAAGTAATAGAACAGTGTATGAAATGATTAAATGCTAACTTTTTCTGACTAATAGATAACTAAAATTCCTTTCGCTTTTCTAACTATATGGATAAATGCATCAACTATCAGTAAAAACCAAATCGAATTCATGAGTATAATATAAATGTCAATAGTAAGTTCATTAGAGCGAAAAATGTAATAAATTTTTTATAATTTATAAGAACAAACTGTTTATTTATGCATCACTAATAATGATAATATTTTCTTTACCTTAGACCAATAAATAGAAACGATTTCTTTACAGATTCTAAATGAAAGGAATCACTCCCTAGAAACGATTTTCATCCTATGAAGTCTATTATTCTTGCGATAGTATCAAATAGATTCATATTCTTAATTTGTTATACAATTTACTAGTTTTAAAATTCAATCAAACCTATTTCTTTGTATTCTGAGACTTCGAAGAAAAGATAAACCGATTAGTCTAGATCGATTTTCAAAGAAATGTTTTAGACGAGGAAAAAATAAGTGGCTGTTAATAAGAACGAACATAATATATTCTTTGTGAAAAATGTCATTCTCTAATCAACATCGTTTTATTTTCATTGTGTTAAACTAAAAATATACCGCACCGCCTCCATTCAATGCTAAATTTTTAGCAGATAGAGATAATATACTATTGTTTGATACAGAAGTACACATGTCATGTCATGTAATGCATGATGCAATCATATTTTATTATAAAGTTCTGTAAATAATTCAATATAGAAAAAGGAAAAAAGTAATCATATGATTATAGAAGATTACAAAAACCTGTTCTGAATAACAGATGTCGCTTGTAATCAAGTATCATCTTTCGAATTGAAAAAATTCTAAAATAAATATATTTCTCTTTCATTAATCGAGATGATAATTAAAATCATTTGATAACAAATTAATTAGAATTTGATTTTAAATATAAGGTATTTCGATGTATATGATTTTTCTGGTTAACAATTAAACCAATCGAAATTTATTTCCTTTTATGAGAAAAAGAAAAAGAGATAAACACGATAAATAATAACTATAATTACACATAAGAGAGATGTCAATGTAATTTTCAATATATTGCCATTAATCTAGTTGAAGAAAAAAAACATGTAGTACAAATTATGTCCTTTAATTTTGCATAATACAATCACAAGAAATGGGTGGTACGATAGGATCAATACCAAGTTCAGTTTCATTTCCAATATTTGGAGTCGGTTTAACTACTCTTTGTTTAAGCATATGTTTTTGTTGCTATTTATGGCGGTAAGTTTTTAAATGAGAATTTTTTTTCTAATTAATTCTTGCATAATTTTAGCCTTAGACGAGATACATTTAGAGAAAAAGGCTATCGAAAAGATCAATATATGCGTTGTAAAGTAAAAAATTCCGTAAGTTTTTGATCATATTATAAAATAAGATTTTTATTTTCTCATCATATCTAGAGTTGTGTTATTTGTTTTGATGATTTTTATCAAGATGAAGAAATTGCTGTTTGTCCATGTGAACATGGATTTCATAAACGTTGCCTATCACCATGGTTACAACAAAATTGTACATGTCCAATGTGTAATATGTGTATCAAACCGGAAATATCCGGTTCATGTCAATTGCCTGATATGCTTTAAATAAATTTCGACTTGCATATATATTATTTATTTTTTATATTACACGCATTTAGTCAGTTACCCGAAAAAAAGAGACAAAATAAAAGAATCATTCATCACATCTATTTATATGTTGACATATAAATATTATTTTAAAGTTTTTTTATAGATATGTTCTTTATTGTTGTTACTGTATTTATTTTTCTCTCTCATTCTTTTCATGTAACAGATCTTCTTTGTATATTCATTATTTTATTTTATGTTAATATAATGCTCAAATTAATTGAAAATATTCATGAAATCAATGCAACGATATTCGAATTGAAATTATGTTTATTATTTAATCAAAAAAAAAAGAAAAAGAATTTTTTTTATTTATTTAATTTTATAATTTCTATGTATTTATTAGCATATCAAAAAAAGTAAATTAATAATATGTACACAATCAGCAATAGTATTTCATCAAAAAATATTTAAAAAAAAACACCTGAGTATATTAATCTTTATACAGGGCTTTTTTTAACAGGAATTTGTTTGGATTTTGAAACAGTTAATTTGCCTGCTACAACATGTGGATCGGTCATAAATGTTCTCATATATGATCGATGTATTTCACGTAATTCATCACGTACACGCATACGTGCTTTTGAATCATTAGCTAAATGTTGGCTAATAGAATTTGCAATAAGTGGACGAACTTGAATATCACTCGGTCGATGATCAAACGATGTACGAGATTTATCACGAAGAAATTCACATAATGCTGGATAACGTGGAATATGAAGTAAATAGAATTTATCTTTTTTATTTCTTGCAGCTTTTCTTCTAATAACTTCTTGTAAAGCAACTGGTAATTGACCCATACCACTATCTTCATCATTACTTTCATTAACTGAAGAAGAAGAAAAATTAATAATATAGTTATTTAAATTTCTCTTAGAAAAATATTTCGGAAGTTATTATCTATTATTCGTTATATACCAAGTCTATTTTTATCTTTTGAAAATGATAAGAAATCATGCAGAATAATTACATATTAAATTCATAGTTAGAATATTTAAATTTCAATCTTCTACTCATTAAAAAAAAGAAGAAGAATCAATTGAACGATCTTCAAAAGTATGTTAGTTCATTTTCTACTATTCTTCAGGAATTTATTTATGCATGATGTCCGTCATAGAAAAATAATCAATGAATGCTTAGAATGTAACTTGAATTCATCAGTTAACAATGGTATGCGTAAAAATAAGAAGAAGCACGTTGAAGAAAACTATGTCGATTCGAAAGATAAGAAAGGCTAAACTGATCATGTGCATGAATAATTTTATATAAAATTAGGTCAAAAAAGTGAGCTCGAAATTTGGAGTTTACGGATGTCTAGTAGAAATAAATTATTTGCTTGTGTGTCCTCAGGGTCAAAAAAACATCGAAAACCAATTTTTCGAAAAAGACATTTCTAGAGGTATTTCGATACGGGGACTATGGTGAGGGAGGGGTGGAGGTGAAGAGGGATCAACGGTAAAAAAACATCGAAAATCAGTTTTTGACGATTTTCATTTGTTTTTGCAGTAAATACATTTCTACGAGAAAGAGCTAAGCGAGTCCGCGGACGAGCGTTACTTGTAAATACTATTGTACCACAAAGTCGTAAACTCCAAATTTCGAGCTCATTTTTTTTGACCATAAAATTATATTTTAAATCATTTTCATTATTTACTGGTCTGAATGTAATCATAGATAATGTCTTACCATTCAACGCTGTAGTATTTGCTTCATCGGAAGGAAGATTAGAAGAATTATTGGGAGTATCAGACTCTCTACCTTGTGCCGCCCACGACCAGAGTTCCGCCATATCTACATGAAATTTAAATATTTGCTTTTTTTAATAAACAAACAAAGAATGTGATAGGGAAAGCAAAATTCTCGGTTTGTCTCTATGTCGCGAAGGTTTTAATTGTCATGTCGTCCTCAAATTGGCATAACACATAACGCATGCCTTTTTTTCGGTAAATATTATATAAAGTTTATTAAATACTAAATTTAATATTTGAAGTTATTCTATTGGTTATTAGTCATGTAAATATTTACCTTCTTCCTCACTTCCTACGTCTGAATCATTCCCATTTTTTGATGTCGGTTTGCGTGAATTTGCACTTGTATTCATTGATGTTTCAAGTTCTTCATTATCATTATCATTTTCATTATCATTATCAGGAATATTTCCTAATACAAAAATATTAAAAAAAAAAACAATTTTTTTCTTATAAATTCATTCTAAACTTACTAATAAATCGACTATCATTAGCATCAAAATTTTGTGTATCTTCAATATCGGCAATAATAAAAGCTAAAAATAAAAAAAGATTCTCTACTAGACGAAAAAACAAATCTTAAATAAACTAACGATTATTTTTTTTGCTACGTGTTATAACTGAATTTGTCGATGATGATGGTAAAGTTGAATTTTTTATTCGATAATCATCATCAGGTTCATGTACTGAATTATTCCCATCATCTACTTCCTCTTCTTCATCTCCAATTGATTGATTAGTACATTTACAACCAGTACAATGATGTGAATTCAATTGTTCTTTCAATCTTGCATTGACTTCTTGTAATTGTTTATATTTTCGATAGATTTGATTAATATATTTATCGTTAATTTCATTATATGCATTGATTATTTCATCAGTTAATTCATAAAGTTCTTCGATACGTTTTCTTGCTTTTGTATCAACTGATTTTGAAGCTAGATAAATTAAGAATTTATAGATTAAAAGTAAATAAATAGTTAAATCAAACCTGATTGAGATACGGATGATAATCGTTTAAGATTTGTACGTTTTCCCATAACGTGTTTTAAATCAAATGAATTCAAATGTCAATAAACACCTTTGTCCAATATTTGCCTAAAGATGTCACTTTTATTTTTTAATTTTAATAAAAATAAATTTAGAAAAATATAAAATTGAAATTGAAATTTTATATTTTCTCTTTAAATTATTTAATATTTTTTTTTGTTGGATTGATTATGTTGATATGACAACACAATGAGCTATAAGAAGACATGATGGCGCTTTGTGGTAGCATTCTTTTATAAACCGCAAAAAATGAAGTATCAAGTAGGATGCTAAATTTTAAAATAGAAGAGGATAGTTTTGTTAAAGAATTGTATTTTATAAAATTTAGACTGAATATCAACGAAATTATCAAAAACGAACACCAAAAAAATCCGATGAACTTCCCGTAGCAGAGAGAAAATTAAATGAAGGTCATTTGAATTTTATAATTTCTCATATGAATTAGCCTTACTTTCTATTAATTCAGTACCAATTCGACGTTCTGCATCATCTCCATCTCGTCGACGTGGTCGATCTGTCCCATCATCACCTACACGTGATGATTCGAATTTTGCGGTCATTGGACCAAATGAAAAATTTTCACAATCTCAACTTTATCGAATGAAACAACCGGTTAAAGATAATCATCGTGTTGCTAAATCACAAGAATTTGCTCTATTAGGAAAAAATGCAAAATTTGAAAATAATGTGGTTTATCCATTAAGAAAACCTGTTGTAACTGATACACCTCAAGTAAGATTATCTAAAATAAAAGAATTTATTGACTAGAAATGAAGCTTATTAAGACATGTAAATACTGAATAGAATTTATTCTCTAAAGGACGGATACTATTTTTAATATGTTTTAAAACGACAATAGTTTATCATGAACGGATTAGAATGATGCCTAAAATAGAAAGAGATTTCAGTTTTTGATGGTTCACTACTCTCAAATGAATACTCATTCATTGTTTCATTTGTACCTGTCTATGTCATATCTAGAAAATTTAATATCTCGTCAACCGAGATTCCAGGAAGTGAATCTATTTATGGCACACAGATAAAGTTTAAATTATTGGAATCGAATGAATATATTTCTAATTGTGTTTAATTTTAAAAATAGACTGTTGTTGTACGAAGACGTAAAAGTGAAAATCATTCATGTGGTGTTCAGACTGTAAGTATAATTCAAAATTAATTTCGATCATTTATTTTAATATTAAATTTAGGAATTGAAGAGAACAACCAGTGCGTCATATGATCTTCGTCATCAACGTGATGGCGTAGCTAATCGAGTAAATTAAATTGTTTTTGAAATTGGAAAATATATTTTTTTCTTCTTTACATCAGAAACGACGTACTCCACAAAGTGAATATAAACAACAGTATAATTGGAAACAATCAGCAGAAGTTTTACCTAGTAATCAAGTGTCGAGTGAAGAATCTAAAGTGGTTAGTTTTTCTTTGAAAAATATGTTTGAAGTTTAGAAAAAAATAATCTATTTTCAGCGTGAACGACGTTCAGAACCAAAAGCCTCGTCATCTGCTGTTACTTCACCAAAAAAAGCTTCTGTAGCTGTGAATACACCAGCACGTGTTGAAATTGATGTTAATAGAAATAAACAACAAGCTCAGCGACCTGCTACTCATTCAACAAAAGCATTTCGTCCAAAACGAGATGATACAACTGAATATCGACAACGTTATAAACCTACTCTTATTGAGCCAAAACAAACAGAAGCACAAAAAACATATCATGCACAATATGTAGATGAACGAACAAAACGAAATCAAATTCCTGAAGTTGAACATGCTCATACAGATGATGAAGGTACTGGAGGAAATGTTGATTTAGGAACTGAATTTCGACAAAAATATCCACATGGAAAATTAAGGTTTGAAAGTAGAATATCAATTTCATTTCGAAAAATATATTATTTGTTTTTTAAGACGTTGGAAATCAGAATATCAATCAACATATAAACCATTTTCGCGTTTTGATTATAAAAATGGTAAATGGTTTAAAGATCCAGCTGCGGTATATATTTATCTATTATTTTTTGATTTAAATCATCTTCTTCTTCTTCATATTATTAATGTAGGATGAAAAAGGTTTTAATCCAAATTTATTCTGGTATAAAGAATTAATGTCTACACGAAAACGAGCTGATGAATTTCGTTCGAAAGCAGAAACAGATCATTTTAATCCTGATCATACTCTTCAATTAAAAACTGGTTATGGTACTGATAATTATCACGCATGGGATACAGATGTTGATGATGATGATAGTGAAAGTATTATTTCAATTGATAGGTATGAAGTATTGGAAAAATACACAAAAACTATTTTGTGTTGTTTTATAGAGATTTAGAACGTGAACGTCTTGAAGGTGAACGTCGTCGTGAAAAAGATGCTAAACGAAATGAAGATGAACATATTCATCATGAAAAGTATGTCGATGAGCTAACGAGATTTGAGTTTATTGAAACTTTTTTAAGGCCTAAAAATATTAAAAAACCAACAACATTTAAAACTGATCGAGTTGCTCAAACAGACCATAAGGTTGATCGAGTTATCTATGTTGATGAACCACCAGTAAAACAACCAAGTGCAGCTACAAAAGCTTTTGTACGTAATCTTGGTTCGTCATCTGTTCAACAACATATGTCTTGGGATTCTGATAGTATTTATAGCCAACGAACAAATTCAGATATGTTCGTATTTTTTATCATCATAATTAAATATTATTTTCTTTATTTTTCCTATAAATTAACAGTGATTTGAAATCGATAACTGCAAGAGATTTACATAATAAACATTATCAAAATGATAATTCAACAAATCGAACGAATGTTAACCGTAAATCATCACCAAAGAAAAAACAATCGCGAGGAACAGAAACTCGTTCACCTCTTCCAAATGATCGACAACAAAAAACTTGCTGTTCATCTCAAATAAATGAACGAACAACTCACGTATATACATATTCATCTGTTTTCATTCTATCATTAATTTCATCTTTTTTATCATCCTTTAGCAAAATGGAACACCTACGCATCATACTCGTCCAGCAACAAGTTATCAAGAAACTTCGAATGCTACTGGTAGACCAAGTTATGATACACATACATATGATAAACGTCCTCATAGCAGCATGAATGAATGTAAATATTCTTAATTTTTATTATGTATGACATATTCTTTTTTGTAAATAGATTGTTCATATCCCGCCAGTCGATTTAAAGATGAAGTAACAGATTATTATTATGGTGGTAATGAGAACAAACAACAGTATCAATATACACCAACAACTAAACCTTCGTTACAAAATCAGGCTGGATCACAAGATGAACGTTATGGTCGAAATTATCCTACACGTAATCAAGGTAAAATTGATATATATTATAGAACATCATATATTTTGAATTTTTTTATTCATATAGATGATGATGTTCTTTCGGTTAATTCAGTTCGATCATTATCATCCAGTTGTAGTTTAGCATCACAAACACTTGAACGTGCTCATCAAAATATGAATAAATATTGGGGAGATAATTCACCGAAAAAAACCTATAATGCCAAGCATTAATCGAAGATTTTAGAAGCGAAAGACTATATCCAGTTGCG